CCACCCCTCTGTTCAATTAAGTATCTGAAAGTTTGTGCAATAGTGTGTCTGAAAAGTTTGCCAGTTTTACCTGAGTCTCAGGCTTTTCTGGATGTTTTGGGTTTTTGGGTTTTTTTTAATAAATGCATTTCTCAATTCCCCTCTCTCCTTTAGATGGTTTGACAAAACATTCACGTTGGTTGTGTTCAAAAATGGCAAAATGGGCCTGAATGCAGAGCACTCTTGGGCAGATGCTCCTATTATTGGGCACCTGTGGGAGGTGAGTGTTTTTATAATTTCCAGTGATCTTGCTGAAGGAATTATATCTGCATGTCACTTCTGTTCTGTGATCTATATAGTCAATGAGTAGTTAAAGATAGAAATTGCTGTGTCTGAGATTGGTATGAGTTCATAGTAGTAATTTCACGTGAGAAGCACTGAAGCTTTCATAGGAAATTGATAAGCAGGGATCCGGGTTTTCTGTTCATCACGGAAAAATGTGGTAAAATCCAGATTTTCTCCTTTATAAGGAGAAAAGCCCAGATTTTAAAAGCAGCTCCCCGCATGTAAGTCTGGTAGGGGGTGGGAATTGATGGCCCCCATAGTGAGGGAAGGAGGGAGTTGGGCAGGGCTGGGGCTGCTGCCCAGCCCAGGTGGTGCATAGGGCTTGAGGCCTGGGGCCAGAATGTGCAGCTGCAGGGTCCAGGTGGGGAATGGGATGGGGCTATGAGCTATGCCTCCTGCTGCTGCTGGGCAGGTAGGGGGCACCTTGTCATAGTGGCGTGGGGCTTGCAGTGGTGGCAGATTCATATGGATGATTTTTTATTTTCTTTAAATGCCACTCCATTGCAATCACAACTAGTACCCCCCCCAACTCATTTAATCTTTTAATCTTGTAGAGTTGTAAGCATATATGCACGCTTATTTGACTCTAGCATTTATTCAAATCACTGCACAAATAGTAAATTGGTTGTTCTAGAGAGGGTTTGGATTTCATTACACCAGTGGTTCTCAAGCTTTTCAGAATCGGAGCACTCTTCCATCACTTTTTTGAATGTGTTGGCACCAGTAGTTGAGAACCACTGTTGGTGCTGCCTCAGCTTACCTCAGTTCTTAACCACGTGCTGCTGCCTCCAGGTAAAACTGCCCCATGTGCCTGTCACACAGTCAACCCAGGAAGGCCTGTGGCATGTACACACACCTTTCCCATATTAGGGCTCTTAAGTCCTTAAGTATATGCGTGTATCTTATGACAACAGTTCTCACAAAGAACCAGGTGGTAACTGGAATTCCAAAAATATTTTATGACAGAATCCCGAAGATAACAGTTTGCATTTTTAATCTAATAATTAATACTTCAGTATGCTGGAAATGGATTAGCCTAAAATCAAAATGTGAAATGCATTTGAACTCCATAACTGTATGACATTCCTGTAGTTACATATATTTTGTTCTTTCCAGACTACTATGGCAAATGACTACCTCCTGCTGGGTTATTCAGAGGATGGACATTGCAGAGGAGACACCCATCAAAATATTCCTTTTCCTACCAGACTACAGTGGGAAATCCCTGAAGAAGTGAGTACAGACAGAACAACTGGGAAGGATCTTCTTTTCTTGAGGATTCATTTAACTTCTCTGTCAGTGGTTGCCTTACAGAGAAGGTACCTTAATTGCCGCAGCTGCACTCATCCCGCTGCCAGATTTCTGGCCCCATGGGCTGGATGGCATGACTGTGTTCCAAACCCAACCCACAGAATCATCCATGAAGCTGGAAATTTGGTGACTGAGTGAGCAATGATAGCATTAATTCATTTGGCTTCCAGTGCCATAGCAATTAACACTGCAGCCACTTATCCCCACCACGACATTTCGAGTTCCTGCAGGCTGAATCCAGAGTATGATGCCATGTTATCTGGGTTGCAGGGCTACCCGTAGGGCTAGAAATCTGTCAGTAAAATGAGCAGTAGTTGCCGCAGCTCCAGGAGCTATGGCAGTTATGCCGCTGCTGCCAAATTTCTGGCTTTGCAGGCCTGGTGATGACACAGCCCCAGGCTCTGGGTCCCGTCTCTGGGACCAAATTATTTAGAATCCATGGGTTTTAAAGTACAGTTTGTAATGCAGTTGTACTCTTGTCTTATTATTCGCTAATTCAGAAAACAGTGATTGAAAGTATGAATCTAGTGGCAGTGACAACTAGAATAGAGCATGATTTCCTTCTTTTCTCTCCCATCCATTACATGGGGCATGGAGAAGCAGTATTGGGTGCCACCTCAATATTACATATCCCCACTACCCTTGTTATGGGATAAAACTTAAAAAAGCTGTTGCCAATTTGAGTAGTTGTGAAAGGGTTAACACTAGACTGTGTCGTCTTTCTTATTTGCAGGGAGAGAAAAGCTGGCAGCCATCTTGTAGCGCAGTGTCTTCTTGAAAAAGCCAGCTGTAGGCCATAACTGGATTTTTTTTTCCTATGCTGTCTTCCAAAATAAAGTGCATGTCTTAAGGGGCATGCAGTTTTCAAGAAAATACAGTTAACATATGCAGCAGATTTGAAACTACAGATAGACTACAATTTTTGTACAACTATATTCAACTCAAATGATTTGAAAAATGTTTCCAAATATGAAAATCAAAACAGTTTTGCTGGATTTCAAAATTGTGTTGACTTTCTTTCATTTTAAGATCATAGGGGCTTAAGTGGCTTTTTGAATTGATTACACTTTGTTTTTTCAGCAAGAATGATAAGCACATTCAGAAAGAAAGCATTCATAACTATGTTTCTGTGTTCATGTGCAGTAATGGAGATGTGTTGTTGATGTGTAATTAGACTACATCAATAAGATGTTTATAACCTCTGTAAAGTGTTGTTTTCTAATCATGTTTAAAAACATGTCGTTGTTAGTGCCAAGAAGTGATTGAGAAGTCTCTGAGTACTGCAAGTGCTCTTGCAGAGGATGTGGATTTTCATTCTTTTCCCTTTGACACTTTCGGAAAAGGTTTAATCAAAAAAGCCAAAATAAGCCCTGATGCCTTTGTACAACTTTCTCTACAACTGGCTCACTATCGGGTAAGAACAGGATCTGGTTGCTGACAGAACTGCATAAAAATATGTATAATAAGACTGCACTTGTGATTATAAATTTACTAATGTCTCAAATAGGTAGGCACTGATCCAGCTTATGTTTAGAGAAAATGGAGACACTCGTATTGACTTCAGTGGGAGATAAAGCTGGCTCTAACTGTTACTTGCTGGGAATTCATGGTTCCAAAGATCAGTTTTCTGACACAAACATAATGCTCTCTTTAGTTTAATTAGTGATGTATCTAGAGATAACCTGTACTCAGAGGAACAAGATTTGATTATTTACATCAGTGTTTCCCATGACGATTGTACAGTTCATTTTTTAAGGTTATTTTTTTAATTGAGTACGTTTGGGTACTCCAACAATATTCATAGAAAGATACTTAGACTATTTTAGCTCCTTGTTTGTCCTGCCATAATGCCCATACATTTTTAGAGTGGGACACTTTCCTATTATTACTTTTGTTTGCTGCTGCTTTTTTAAGATACTTGTCCTACTCCATTTTTATTATGCTGTTTGGTGCCATCTGCATATTTGTCAATGGTTCACTCCAAATCACTCAAAAATATAAAACAGTATTAGACCCAGGACACACCCCTTGGGAACTGTACTTGATACCTCCTCCCAAATAGATATTGAGACATTAATGACTACTTTTTGAGCACAATTATCATTCTAACTGCTTATGTATCCATCGTATGGTAGTTTCACCTAGACTATATTTCCTTACCCTACTAATAAGATGTTGTGGGATTGAAGAGCCTTGCTTCAAGTTGATGTATATCACATCCACTGTTCTTCACCTATCCACAAAGCCAATCGCCTTGTCACTGAAGGAAGTCAGGGTTGGTTAGCGGTGACTTGCTCATAATTTAAACGTCTATTCTCTAGATGCTTAGAAAGTCATTCCTTGACAACCTACCCTACTCCAAAATCTTCCTGGGCATCAGACTCTCAGTGACTTGTCCATAATTCCCTGTGGATCTGCCTCCTTCCCATTTTTAAAGATCACTATATTTGTCCTTTTCCAGTTACCCAAGACCTGGCCTAACCTCACCTCACCTCAATGAGTTTTCAAAGATAATAGTGGATAGCTTAAGGAACTGTTGATTTTGTTTGTTTGGTTTTTTTTGCATATCCTGTCCTGACTTGCATTTAACTACCACTGATTATATAAATTAAGAGATGGTGGGTAACCATTTGGTAATTTTTAAAAGCTGTGTAAGGAAAGTAAAATGCATGCAAGTAGTTTCTGGGAGCTTGTCTATTGACCTACTTCATGGGCTTCAGATCATGCCTAAACTGTTTGAAACAAACTGAGAGGACTGTGAAAGGAAAACTTTGTGTGGTAGGAATCCTTGTTAGGTTTTTTTGTTGAATGCTCTTGAGATGACATCAAAAGCTTTGGAAAAAATAATCTATTTTGTTCTTACATGTTTGAGGAAATAACATAACGCCCTAAAGGTTGAAAAAGTACTAAATATTTTACTATGGTTAGCTAAATTGAGGAGTGACTATTCTTAACTCTGTTCTCCATTATCACATTAATGTGTTGTTTTATAACTGAAGGTAAAACCTAAGTAGGCTTCTTAATCTTTTGGGTTTTGGGATTTGTTTGTTTTTGCCATTTCAAGGACATGGGAAAATTCTGCTTAACTTACGAAGCCTCTATGACACGCCTGTTCAGAGAGGGCAGGACAGAAACAGTTCGCTCGTGTACTACTGAATCATGCAGTTTTGTTCGAGCCATGGAAGATCCAGCGGAAAGTGTAAGTTTGTTGCAACAATCCATTATGAACTCATCGGTTTTGTAAGACACATATCCGGTAATAAAGCATGCCTTCCTGTGGCAGCACACTTGATGCTCATGTGTGCGCATATGCATGCATGCATGCGTTTATTAGACTCTATCAACCCAGAAATGCTTTTAGCCATAAGAATAAATTACAGAATAGGTTTTAGGCAGACAAGGTTTTTTAGGTAAATGTGACATCTTTTATTAAAACTGAGAATAGGTTTTATACATTTAAGTATTACTGCATCTTTCTTTCCGTCATGAGAAATACAGTTTAGCATAATGATAGTAGTCATTACAACAGAATTGTAGTGTATGAGAGAACTTCTGTAAGTAAAAGCCAAAGTGATTTTTTTTCTTAAAATGTCATATTTTCACCAGCATAAATTTTGCACCATTTTTATGTGAGAATGTTCTCCTGTTAGAAAAATGGAGCATATGAATATTATTGTGAGGTACTGTTCCACTCTGTGATTTTTCTTTAAGATGCTTGCATGTACGAGAGTAAATATTTCAGAGTGACTGACTAATGTCATGAATGCTTGCAAGGGTACACAAACATTTCTGGTGGACATCCTGTGGTGATGTCAATAAAATAAAATGGACGTAGACTATTAAACCACTGTGCATTTTTTTTTCTGGCTTGTACCATGAATTACGCAGCTGCTGTTCATCTCCATTAAGGGGTAATATTAAAAGCAGTGGTCCTGGGTATGAACTGCTGCTGGTTCTTCAAAAAGAACTGTTCGTAGAGCTTCCTTTTCTTTAAATACATCAGTATTTTATGGCATAGCTTTATCCTGGGTCTTATTTACCAAAAATTTCTCATTTAGTATCAAATGCCTTGTTAATCCTCTTACTCTGTTGTACTGTAACAGCTGTCCTGCAAAATGAGGAATTGGAGTTTAGCAAACAATTTAATCAACTGTAGCTAGTTGCAGCTATTTATTCACTGCCTCTAAGGAACATGAAGCAGGACAATAAAGCCATAAAGATTCAGGGTTGTTCATATACCTTAGAAGTACAAAGTGTATGTGGTCTAAAACATTCCTTACCACTCAGCATTTGTGCTACATTAATAATTAAAACCTCAGTATGAAAATGAGCTAGAGAATTATGAGCTAGATAGTGTTGTGTGAGCAAAAGTGGCACTTGTTTTTAGGGAGGGGTTTTATTTTTAATTTTAATAGCCTTTTCATATGTAAGTGTAAGAGAGATCCTAAATATTTAAAAAAGAAGTGTACAAGAATAAGATTTTCTCTATTGTGATTAACTGGGTAAACAAAGCAAATTATTCTACCATTCCAGAGTTGGTAAGATAAAGTTTTATTAAACAGCTGTGGAGTGTCTTCAGCGTTTTGTGAATATACTGTATTGAGAAGCCAGAAAACATGTTTTTTTTAACTACAAATTGTCCATTTCCTGACGCATTCCAAAATTCTGAAAAGTCAAAAACTGAGGACACCTTATTTTCAGACTGAATTATTTAAATATAGGTTAATTATCACTTCTGATTTTACTCCTGGAAATTAGACATTTTCTAAATCAATCTCCCTTGTGGCGCTGCCTTTATGAACTAATCCAGTTTTCTTCCTGTTTAATAATGGCTTTTGATGTTCTAATGCTCCCTGGTTTTAAACAAAAATGTATAGTTGAAATGTCAATCTTGTCTGAATTCATGAAGAACTATAGAAACTGCCCTCTGGCCTCTAAAGGTTCTTAGATGGACAGTGCCACGTTAGTGTCATATTTTGCAAGATGACTAGTCCCTGTATTCTGATAGGAAATTACAAGCTTAGTTTTTCCTTCTTCAGATGTACTGATAAAACTACAGTCACTATTGACTTCAATTGGAGTTGGAATGCTTGGCCATTTTGAATATCTGGACCTATAATTGTTATTATTCATGTATTGTGAAAAGTACTTTTCACTATGTGAAGTTTTAGAATGCTTTCCTGAAGTCATGGTTGTGTCCCAACACATATGAACACTTCAGCATTCATGTTTGAAAATTTGGAACAGGGTTCAATTCAGAATATCCTGAGAAAATGCTTCATCTGTTTGGCCCTCTCTTTTCAAGATAAAGGTTCTGGCCAAAGCACTTTCTTACTGTAGAACAGAAGACTTGACCCTCTTGATTTAAAGTTTTTTTTTCCAAGCTCAAGTTGGACTTCTCTGTAGGCATTTCTGCTCATATTATCATTGAGATAATGCCTTTTTGCATGTTTTGTTTCTCCTGTTCCTACCTCTGACTCAGTCTTCCTTGTTCCTCAATTTTCATTACTTTCCCCTTTTCCTGTTCCTCTAACTCTATTCCCTTGGGGCACTTCCTAGCCACCTTCCCTTTCCCCCTAAAGACTTGTACTCTTAGATGTCAGCAGTAGTTCAAATGACTAATGTGATACGTAATTTTTTTGCCAAACAAAATGCCATTTAACAGGCTCCATATAGCTAACATACTATGGTGTGCTGTGAGAGAGATTAAGAAGTGACAGGTTATTATACTTCCAAAATGCCATTCCGTGGTATGAAATAATCTGTGCCAGAAAATATTTGGCTTTCTAGAAAATGAGTGTTGACATGTATTAACAAATATCTGTTGATATTTTATATTAATATTAGACCATCTATCAATCTGTCTTCCTGAAATAGCTGTTAAGTTTCCAGCTTTTTCAACAATTAGATGATATTTGCTTTTTGTAGCTATCTAAGCAAAACAAGACAGATGCAGCATAAGTTCAAAAAGTTAATCCTTCAGGAAGCTACATTTTTATGAAACCAATATAGAAGCCAATTTCTTCCTCCTAGAATCAAAAGTGGGGTGAGTTTCCTTGTTCAAAGCATCAAATCTATTTTCAGCTGCTGAAAATATCTATCTCTAGATCATGGGTGGCCAAGGTGCAACCTACAGGCCCATCCTGCCCCCAGAGCTGTCATCTAGCCTGTATGACTCTGTACTGGTTCAGCAATTCAGTGGCGTGGCAGTTAATTAATGCTGCCACCACTTGTCCTGCTGCCAAATTTCAGGACCCATGGGCAGCCCCATAGGCTGGATCCAAAACACAAAGCCACTACTTGGCTTGAAGGACTGGAAATTTGGGGTGGGAGTGTTGGCTGCCACAGCTCTAGGACCTGCAGCAATGAATACTGCTACCTTCAATTCGGCCTTGCGGAGCCAAATGATGCAACTCTGGATCCAACCTACAGACTGACCCATGGAGCCAGTTGGGTTGAACACCATTGCTCTAAATGGAACGTAAATGCTGGAGACAGCAAGTGGGGAAGAAACGGTGAGAAAACCCTGATCATACCCAGTTCACTCCCACTTCCAGCATCCAACTCTTCACCACTGTGTGACATAGGTGACCTAGTAAATGGCAGTTCTCATGTTCTTAAACAGCTCTGAGGGTCATACTACCATTACTAATGTGGCTGTTTATAATCATTTTGTCTTTAACAGGTTCCGTGAGTTATTACACCCTTTAGAACTAAATTTATCTTCGTTATAATTGGTTTACTGAAGGAAACTGTTGACATAAATGTTGAATCCTGAAAATTAATCAGGTTAATTTGAAAAGTTTGAGCAGCCAGTCCTGCCATTTCACTTGCTCCTAGGCTGCTGTCGGTTTCTCGTCATACTTGGTCTCTGCTTGCTTTGTCTTGCACTTGACTCTTAATGCTGCAATTTGAGAGCCATTGCTGTAATTTGGATTTTTTTTCAGTTCAGGTTACTAGCCCTTTATTTTCCTTTATTTTATTTTTTTTTAGACTGAGAAGAAGCTTAAGCTACTCAGGATTGCTGCTGCTAACCATCAGCATTTGTATCGCTTTGCCATGACGGGTGCTGGCGTTGATCGCCATCTCTTCTGCCTTTATGTTGTGTCCAAGTATCTTGGTGTTGATTCTCCTTTCCTTAAGGAAGTAAGTAACTTTTAGTCATAATTATCAACTAAGCAAAACATCAGTTATCAGTAATCAAGTTTTTCAGGTATAAGCTGTGTATGTTGTTTAGAATACTGTAATTTTCCTAAGGAAAAAGGTGAATTTTATATTGGATCGTTTAAAATTGTCATCTGACAATGGCTGTGTTCAGGTTTTTGTCTGCTTTTTGCAACTAGCTACATTTACTGCGTAATCTTGCATAAAACATTATTTTTGTAATGGAGTAGATCTTAGTGGTGATTCAAAAGAGAGATGGCATGTTACTCATGTAAGATAAAGGGTTGTATCACTCTCTCACACACATGGGTTTGCATGTATATGCAGTTGTAATATTTCTCTGTTAATGTTTTTGATTATCCCAGTGACCGAAGGTACGTTTATTGTATTGCTCAGTGAAACTAGGCAGTCTGATGTGGTCGTTTATGTGTGTAAATTCCAGACTTTCAAAAATGATTCAGCATTGAACTTGATTTTAAATCTCCTAGGTGATTAAAATATTTTTCTGCCGTCTTCCAAATTAAAGTAACTCTCATGAGTGTTCATCATCAGGTTCACTGAGGTCACATCATCCAAAATGAGATGATAAAGAAAACAACTTTTTTCTGCAGTTCTCTTTAATCTTTTTTTTTAGACTGATGTGCTGTAATTAGAGATTATATCAGTGATTCTTAACCTTTTTAGATGCAAGGTACCCCTCTATAACTTTTTTTCTGACTTTCAAAAAATAATTTCACTCACTTCGCTACAGTAAATAGAGCAATTTGTCTGTTGCAAAAATTTCAGACTACAAGTCAGAATGTTTTTGACACACTATGAATGATTTCTGTCTGAAATCTCTGGGTTTATCTTGTGAATCATGTGTAGGTGTTTGCACATCTAGCACTGCTAATATTTCACAGTACACATAAAAGGATCTCATGTCACCCTGATTGAGAATCACTAGATACACAGAGCCCTGACATTGCTGTAAGGTCATTACTTTTTGGCATCTTGTAGGAAATCAAGGGCCTGATCCAAAACCCATTAGTTAGTAGGAACCTTTCTGTTTAGTTGAGTGGGGTTTGGATCTAGTCCCAGTCCTTATTTCAATAAGTGTCCTCCAGGCATACTATAAAACAGACTTAGGTTTGTTTGTTTGTTTGTTTGTTTTAATATATGGGATTACTGTCAAGTATTCAAATGTTACTATTTTAATTGCTTTTCCTGATATATAAGCCATTTACTTTAATCTGTTCATTACATTGGAAATGATGTATTGCTTTACTGAGTAGTGTCTTATAAATTGCCTTGCTTACAGCAGTTACATATAACACTCAAGCTGCCCAGACACACATGTTCAATCATATATCCTTCATGTCTCTTAAAGGTTTTATCAGAGCCTTGGAGATTGTCAACAAGTCAAACACCGCACCAGCACATAGATCTGGAGAAGAACCCTGAGTGTGTGTGCAGTGGTGGAGGCTTTGGACCTGTACGTTTCAAAGTTTTTCTTTTTTTTTTCTTCTTTTTTTGGGGGGGAGGGAGGAGGGTGTTTTTTAACATCTTAAATGAGGGCCTAGTTTGAATACTTTATCTTAAAATTCTCAGCTCCGTAATCCATGAAGGTTCTTCGAGGATTCTGAAAGCAGGCATAGTCATATTTTCCTAATATACATTGAAATCTGTTTGAGGGAATCTGTCTTGGTTTTGTTCTTTCTTACCCCACTAGGAGAATGAGTAGGCCCTAAGACAGAATATATTCACCAGTTAGCAAGCATTAACCATGCCAGTGAGACCTGTTGGAGGACAGGCTCACTTCACCTCTTACTTACTTACAGGATTTGTGTATGTTGTGACACATTTTCCACTCTTTGCCAAACAAGCAGATAGGACGTAGAATGGATATAGATGAAGGCTCAAGCTCCCTGTAGCTATAAAGTAGGCCTGTGCGACGTGGCTAGTATTCGCTTCAGATTCGGCTGATTCAGGGGACCGCAATTCAATTCAGTGATTTGAATCACTGCCGAATCGGCCAAATCCCTGAATCACACAGGCCCATCCCTCGCCTGCTCTCCCAGTCCCGGCAATGGCTGCCCTGCCTACCCCAGCTCCCGGCACTTTGAAAAAAAAAACCCTGACTTACCGGGTGCTGCTGGGCAGGGAATGATCCCCACTGCCCCACGCTACATGGGGGGCTCTGCACGAGCCCCTTGATTTGCTTCCTCTGCTGTCCCAGCCCCCTTCCCAAAGCTGCCCTGCCTACCCCAGCTCTGGTCCTTTAAGGGGGAAAAAAACCCAACCCAGTCTCACTGGTTCCTGCCCAGCCAGGAGGCAACCCCTGCTGCCCCATGGGGGGCTCTTCCACAGGCCCGCAAAGCTCTGAGGCCGCTGCAGGAACTGGGTTTTTTGGGGGGTTTATTATTTCTTAAAGATTGGGGGGGGGGAGCAAGCAGGGGATGGGCCCTGGCCAGGGGTCCCCCATGGTCGGTCTCCCCTGCCCCCTACTTACCAGCTCCAAGTCCAGCTCTCAGCTCCGTGCTGCAGTGGGCGGGGACTGCCCGAATCGCTGAAGCTCTCCAAAGCTTTGCAAAGCACTACTATAAGGTTTTTTTGTTTGTTTGCTTTTGTCATACCCTTCAGTCAAAGATGGGGATGGCAGACTAAATGTTTCTGTGGTACAGTTCTACTTGGTTATCTAACGAGCTTCAAAATAGTTTTGATTCACATACTTGGTATAACTTTTAGCTTTTTTCAGTGGCTTGGAATAAGTTTAAATTGAAATGCCAGTAAAATTAAGGAAATGCTGCTGCTGTGGTGGTGTAATAGTATGCTTCTGACTAGAAATGGGTAACCTACATTTTCCCCCCTAAACGAGATGTTTACTTACCCATTAAGATCGTCACAGAGTATTTCAGTCTCTAGCGTCTTGGTTGTGGGGTAATGTGATTTGGGAAATAGTTTATGAACCACAGGGTGCATCTGCATGTGTAATTAATGTGACACGATAAACTCCTGAGCACTTTAAGCTAGAGAGAATTGCCCCTGGTTCCATCATTGCCAACTTCCAGAGCAGGATGGAGGGGCGAGGCAGGGAGCAGGGCAGAGGGAGGGAGTTCCGTCCACTCCCTTGCCAACGCTTCCAAGGAGCAGAACGGGGGGGCAAGGCCAGCTGTGCTGGCCTCGCCCTGCCCCGCCCCCCGCTCTGTCTCCTGTGTCCCAGCCATCATGGCAGCGCTCCACTGTGCCGCCACCTCCTGTCTGAACACTTCTTCGCACTGTGATAGGTTGGTTGTCAGCCAATCGGAGCATGAGTAAACCATTATAGACAGACATATTAAAGCTTTTATAATATTAGAGTTGCGCTCATAAATTTGTGCAGCAATAACAGTAATTCATCTTAAAATTTCATGAAAATCCATTTTTGTGGATTTCAGGGATTATTTTTATCGTATGGAACCTCTTAAACTGAACATAGTTTAGGGCCTCAGCATGTCATAATCCAGCACTGATTTGTGACCCTATTTTTTTTATTGTTGCGACTCCAAGTTAGGGAACCACTGCCATAAGCTCTCTTCTTTGGAGTTGCATTTTGATATTTTGATGGTCATATGCTGGTAATTCTGAAGCCTAATCAAAGAACTGCTTAGAACTAGTTGTGCAGGTGTGTTAATTAAGCAATGTACATTAAAGGAATAATCCCAGAATTGGGAGGAAAAGCCTTCTGGAGATCCTGTCCAAGCCCTATCACTGGGCTGGGTTGTTTTGTCTAAAACTAAAAACAGGTTTTCATAAACAGGGAGCAGTGTATATTTCAACATTTACATTAAACAAATGGCATTCATGAATTAGACATGTAGGGGAACTAATTTACTGTTTCACTTAATTTTAATATAAAGGGCCAAACTTTTATATACGTATTTGGGAGTCCAAACCTTAGAGAATGCTTGTGAAGCATAAAGAGTTAGAAAGTTGTTCACAGGAATTAGATATGTTTTCTTTTTGCAGTGCTAAAGTAGTAAAAGGATTGGGTGATATATTTAGAATCTGTTGATTGTTTGCAGTTTGGATAGTTGAACAGTGCTATGTTTCACAAAAATTCAGTAATTCTTTGAGCTGACTCATAGTTAAGATATTTTTAATTGTTTTTACTTTACAGAAAACTTGAGTTATTTTTTAAAAATACAGAAATGAGTTGCACAATTATATTCAAATATGGCAAAGAAACGTGTTAAATCCTTTCTCACAGGTTGCTGATGATGGCTATGGTGTATCTTACATTATTGTGGGGGAAAAATTAATCAATTTCCATGTGTCCAGCAAATTCTCTTGTCCTGAGACGGTAAGTACTATATAAAGTTAGAATTATATCGACTCTTTCAATATCACCTAATAACTGCATTTTGGGAATCATTTGTAATATTGTTTTTGAGTCCTGTTTTTAAAGATGTGAAACCTGTACCTGTCAATTTTGATTTTTTTTCTTGACTTGCATCTCTTTCTGTATCACAGAAACTGCACTGTACAAATTCATCTAGACTTTCTCACACAGTGAAAAAAAATATGCTTTGCTATTTTAGTCACGTATTTAGTGTTCTTACATTCATATGGGATGACCCATATCTATCCAATACCCACCAGATCATGCTTTCCCAAATCTTAATAAATAATATCTTTGTTCAGGTTTTTCACTAGTTGGAGACAAATTCAGATGTCAATTTCCCAATTTTTTTTTTGAGTCACCTAGTCTGAAATACAACATATAGTTTGTAGAAATAATGATTTTAGGTCGTAACTCTAGGCTGTATGTCTTGGAGCACTCAGGGGCAGCTGCTTGATTAGAATCAGATATGGTGTATTAATATCCATTAGCTTCTGGGGATTGCTCTATGTAAGCCTCATTCTATTCTTATTGTTATACTAGCCAATTGCCCATCAAGAATGATGGGGGGGGGGGGGCTGGGGGGGAATGCCACCACCTAATGCCCCATACTGCCACTGTTCTGCTTCTTGCAGCGCTGGCCTCGGCTCCCCCACCCTCTGTCCAGTCCTCGGCGCAGATTCAGAATCATAGCGGCACTCCCCCACGCTTTCCAACAGCCAAAATTCACAGAAGCACAGAATTCTAATATTATAAAAACCTAAGTCTGTCTGCCTGTCTGTCCCTAATGCTTTATTCGCACTCTGATTGGTTAAGTGGCAAAGCTGTTGTTGTCTTCCTCTAACTTTTTTGGTTTGACGTTAAATTGCCTGTGAGATTAATGTTTCCTGTGCTACTATCACTGATTCATCAACAAAGATTAAAAAATAAAAGCTCTCATCCTTGCATAACTCAAATTAGTTGCATTTATTGGATCTAAGATACCTTGGATTCCTCTTTTAGTTGCTGGGTTTACTACTGCATGACTCAACAGTGAAGTCAAAGTTCCATTCAAAGAAGGAAGAAATTTTATCAGTAACCTTGACTTCATTGCTACTACTACTATTATTATTACATGCTGTGTTGAGTTCTTTACCTACATGACCCTGTATTTAATCTTAACTCCCTCCTTTCATTATTGATTTTTTTACTTACAAAAAAGGAAAATGGGTTCAGAGCTTATTGTTAACAGCTTAGATCCTTATCATTCAAGTATTCACTATATTTTGTATAATTCTTCATGCCAGGAAATATGAGGTCTTGACGTAGGAATACCTTCTGTGTTTATGCTTCTTTCAACATTTATCCCACGTCCTCTATATCTTTCTCCAACATTTTTGTGTTCTTGGAAAACCAGTTATCAAAAAGTTGTCTTTTTTACATGACAGCTTTTGAGGTATGTTTAAATTTAAACATATGATGAACATGAATAGTGTTTCACTTTGAAATTAAACTCAACTTTGTGTACAGGAAAGTTAATGGGTAATGGAGGAGGGTTATTCTGTCAGCAGTAGGATAATCTTTTTCTACTGGTTTAAATTTTTTATTCCTTTTCACATTCTGCGGCTTACTTCATTTCAAGAGTTTCTTAATTACAAAATGAAGGGAAGGAGATGGTCAAAGAAATGTCTATTCAACATGATTTTGCATTACAGCTTTTCCTATATTCTTTTATTCTTTTAGGATTCTCATCGTTTTGGAGAGAACATCAGACGAGCAATGATTGACATTGTGTCTTTATTTGGCTTTGGTAAAAACTCTACCAAGTGATCGTCTTACATCAGTGCAGTCAGTCTCTTGCTGTTGGGGTGAGAACTCTTCTGATCAGTGAATGGAAATCAAAGCACATGCTAAGCAACAGTTGAGGGGCACCTGAGTCGCAATTATCTCTGAACAAGGATTCCTCATCTTGGGCGTAATTCAAATGCTCCATCATTTTGCAGCTCAGAAGAGTTTTCTTTCCACGAAGGATGACTTTTGATATTCTATGTGTTTCTAGAAATACAGCAAGACAACATTATGTGAAAGCATATGTACTCTAACTACTCTAGGCTTATCTAAGTTTTGTGTACATTTGATTATTTTTACTTTAAAATCTGAGTCTACTTATATTCCATAAATGAAATGATAAAATGTATTAAGTTAACCTCAAAATGGCAGTAAAGAGTTAATATGTACTGGTAACAGAATATTGATTAAAATGTATCTGTTGCTTCTATCAATGACCAGATGGGGCATTCACTTTCCTTCACCTTTTAAATATAAATGTAACCCTGACTTATTTTTTCAGCTAGAACATTACATTCAAGTTATCTGTGCTTTTTTGAAATACATGTGTGTTACAGTGGGTGATAAAATGCTTGCATTATCTAAGATGGCAGGTGTCATCTACTTTTTCTCCATGTTTTATAAGCATGTAGTTTTACCACAGCTTTAATTGTACTGCCATATGAAAGGGCCTGCATGTTTGTTCAAGCCAGTGCCTTACAAATGAAAAGCCCTACATCCAGGAAAATCCTTACACTGTGAGGTTGTTTGCATTTTTTCTATAAAGTTTCTATGATGGAATAGGTGAATGGGATTGGACATAAGCTCTTAAATAATTTATTTTGATGCAACGTAAGGTAAAAGTGAGCATGTTTCTGTGTAGTGCAATCTGGCTCTTTTGTACAATGAAAGAACAGCCCCTGGTGAGAAACAGAGCTCAGTTCTTTTCAGAACTACTACATTCCTTAGAAAACACCATTTGTCCTGTGGGATATCAAATAACACCTAAGACAACTGCTGCATTTTGTGCACAGATTCTCTTAGGTTTCACAGATTGTAATCATTAGTAACAAGTAAACTTGCTGGAAAATCTACAGCAGCAGACTGACTGAAGCTGAAAACTGCAGCTTGTTTCCTCTTATACCATCACTATAATTCCCTTCATCTACATGGGGAAAAGGTTAGGAGTTCACACCATAGAAATAATGGTCCCAGAAAAGAAAAATGTCCGTCTCAGATCCCTGCCTGGGCAGGTCATTGATCAAGTTAAACAAGATCCTGCCTGAGGAAAGCAATAGGAGGGAGAGAACTTGCGTAGTTTCTCAATCTTAAAAAGATTGAGAGTATTTTCTGAGTAATACTTCTAGTTTTTACATTCTCTCTCAAAGATTTTCATCCTGAACAATATGCAAATTTAACTCCTACATTTAAAAAAGAGGCCTTGATGAGGGTCAGAGCTGAGTAGTTATGTAAATATTGTAATGCAAGAACCCCACAGAAATGGGCCAAAGACTTTTTATTTGGTCAAGGACAAAAAGATTATGACATAAGCCTTACTGCAACTGCGGCATCTAATCAAACAGCTGCAGCAATTTCATGGTGAATTGTCCTTTTATAGCTGCAGAAATCATGCACTATTTATATTGACCACTGACCAATCTGTTAAATTAACATAAACATGTTAGCTTGTAGGATAATTTTTTTTATTAAGAACACATTTAGGTTGACTCTCAGGTTTTAAATGTTTCAAATGTAATTGTAGTTAGTGCAGTTATCAATGCAATTTTACATTCTTTAAGAGAATGTAAACATGATTGGCACAGGAAGAATTGGTTTTTATTGTACATGTTGAAAAGGGTGATAAAAAAAAGTGTTATGTATTTTTATTTGGAGCAGATCCTAATTTCTAAACAGATCTTGCTTGCATTTCATTTGTGTTAGAATGTTAACTGCATGTAAATAAAATGTACTTCTTTGGATGTAAATCTTAGAAATACACAGTGAATGTAAGCTATCATTAATAAAGCAATTAATTTAAATTGTCATATTCTCCATATTGTGTATACTATAAAACCACTCATTTCTGTTTTCTTAAATGCCATAGGAATATGACTAGTAATTGCTATTTTTAATTATTTTTCCAGTATGTTGTATATAATATTAGAGTCATTATTGAGTTAAAATATATTTCAGAAAAAAAATGTATTGGTTACTAATACTTTTAATCACTGATTCTAAAACAGTGAAATAAGAGAAGAGAAGGACAGGAGGAAAAACTGAAGTTGAATGGACATTAGAATTTGGATGGAATGATAGTAATAAACTATTGCATGGCAGTAAGGAATTGGCTGGATCCCTCAGCTGCAAAATTCCAGATTTCAAATTTTTCTTTCAGACCAACACGGCTACCAAGTACACCCCTGAAACATGGAAGATGCCGAATTTCAGCCGATTTTGGATTTTAAACTTCATTGCAGAACAACAAGGAAGTTTTTTTTTTTTTTTGTTTTGTTTTTTTTTGCCTCCCTACCTACCATCTGACACCTTCAGGGAAGGAATTCTACCTGATCAACACATCAAAAAGCTACTCAACACAGCTCACAAAGACACTCTCATGGACCCAGAGGGACAGACTTCCATCTTCAGCTCCCTCTGTGCAAAAATGAAGTTTATTTCCTGCCTATGGGGACTTTTTACCATCTTGTACCATCTACACTTTTCCCAGAGCCTGACGAAGGGACTTTGATTCCCGAAAGCTTGCAGAAAAGGACAGTTTTCTTGCCATTTTCCAGTTGGTCTAATAAAAAGTATCATTTTGGAATCAAGAGTTCTAGTTTTTTGTATGTCAGATTTCTAAGGGTAAATTTTTGTGTGAGAGATTAGAAATGGTTTAAAGGTATTTGGATGTTAATGTTTACTATGGTTAACTACTAATGCTTTTTCAACCTTAACTGTTTTAAGGGGTTTTTTGTAGAGAATATAAATTTAAGTACTTAAACTTTAGCCCCACACATTTTCAAATTTACCAACCGAATCTATCCCTTTTACTGCATTTTTAAATATAAGTTAATTATGTTCATTTACTCCACTTGTAATACTGCCTTTTTGTTGTCAGTTATTTACATCCAACTCTGATTTCTTTAATTGTGTCTATATATTTATGTTCTCCCTTTTTTCTGTGACAGAAATAAAAACTAAGGTTTTTGCAATTACCACTGCTACCACTACCACATCTTTTTATACTTCTCTACATCTTGCTCTCCCCATTCCTATGTTCTTGGACCCATTTGTTGTACATTATTTCATCTAATTAGAACATTTATTGAAAACCTAATAAGCAGACAGCATTCCTGGCAGATTCAGACTGGTGATGGAAAAATATTTACCTCTTTTACAGTGATTTATCTACTGAAATATAGCGAATTAGCAGGTATTTAGATGATGCAATATAGGAACAACTTGTCTCTGTGATATTGTTTTACATTGCTAATATAACCCTGTAAAAGTCTGTCTGTATATCATATATTTTATAGCATGATATGGCTCAGGACATGCCCAGCGTTTCCTTTATTGTAATACACGCCAAACTTAAAATTCGTACTTGAGATCTTATATATCCTCCATCTCTGGAAGATAGCACTCTGATTGTGTAATCTGGAATTTAATGTAAAAGGAATTCCTCAATAAAGATTGAATTGTTGGCTGGTGTGTAGTGTTCTGCAGGTCCCTGTGCTGCTTTGGCTGGCATGGGTCAGGTGCATTTTGTACCCTACTTAGCATGTTCAGTCCCAGGTGGCTGAGTCAAGGTCTTGCTAAACTTATCCAGCTGGTCAGAAATAATGAGCTCCTTGGGGGGAATCCTGGAATAAAAGGTTTGAGGTTGTTATAAGAAACCTTCAAGATGGAAGGCAAGTGTGCTGCTTCTGACTTCTAGTGGAGGAGACCTTCAGAACATAAAAACTTGTCATTTGTACCAAAATATAAGGGAAACTAAAGCAAATGGTACTCTTCCCTCAAGATAAATTGAATCATTTGCCAGTTTGTGACACACATTCATGTACAAAAGTTCTAATGCTCAGAACAAAGAAAAAACAGGTGCATTAAATTTAGGCAACTGGTTTGTGGAAATTAAGCTCTCTACGCAATGCAGGCGGAGTTCTGAATGACTTGGAATAGGATCCAACGTGGTAGAGGATTGAACAGGGAGCTGACCAGAATCCAAGAATATGTGAGAACAAAGTTAAATTCTGTTCTCTAAGGATTCATATCTATAACCCCTGTAAGACTACCCTAATAACTAGGTTATAATAGGGGTGGACAGTTATTTCAGCTGGTGGGCGACTGTGGAATCAGAAAAAATATATGCCTTAAACTTTGATTATTTTAGTTATAAGATGACATAACCGCTTTGTGGAGAATTGCTGGCTCTGTATAATAGAACAGATAAGAGAAAGTGTTTGTTCTTTATAACTCCTCTGCAACTGCTTCGCTCACCGTGGCCTTGAAGATAGCAAAAAAGTATGTACAAATCTGATTTCCAGGTGCAAGAAGGAGGTTTGTGAACTAACCTCGCCTCCCCCATTAGTTCCCATCCTGATTACAGCAAAGAAATAATGAAGTAATATTATAGCCGCTTTTCATGCTAATTTCACTATATGATCACGTGAGTTGTAAGCGACTGTTAAAAAGTATATAAGCCTCCTGATTTTGCTCTTGTGGGGGGACCTCTTCCAAGTGCTTGGGAAATCCATGTCACTTTGGAATCCCCCCTACAGCTGTAGTTTCTTTTAAATAAAAGCTTCTGCTGACCTGACCCAAAAGTATGCTGCGTGTGTTTCCACGACAATTCCTGGTGCCGTGACTCAGATCCAGAACACAGGCTGAGAAAGAAGGACCGCAGACTGCCCCCCCCGAACCCCGAGGCGCCAAACTTGAGAGGTAAGAGACCTAATTCAAAATCTCTATTGGGGTTTCGGAGGAGGACTGCCTATAGGCTCCCAACTTGGCCGTGGTAACTGGATCTGAACCTTGTTAAAACAGGTCAGTCTGAACCTTACTGCCGGCTAAAATTTTCTGTCTGGTAAAGGATCCCATTTTGTGTCTGATAACGTACGTTTTATTTAGGGAGAAACTGTATGAAGCACCTTCATCCTACAGCACATCGGGCTTGTCGTTAATTAACTAAGGCGGTGTGGGGGAGGAGGTCTGGCTGACTGAATGAATGTGCGTGTGTGTGTATTTAGAAATATGAGCCACTGACCAGGTCTGAGACTACGGTTGGGTTCAGCCGCCCCAATTCTGCCTGACAGGGCAGTTTTGAAAGCAAGGGGGCCCAACTGGAACCTCGTGACCCAGTGGACAGGGCTTCCCAGTGATTGAATAAATGTGTGTGTGTGCATTTAGAAAAATGAGCCACTGACCAGGTCTGGGACTAAGGCTGGGTCTAGCCGCCCCGATTCTGCCTAAAAAAGGTAGCGTCGAAAGCAAGGGGGCCCAGCTGAAACCTCGTGACCCAGTGGACAGGGCGTCTGAGTGATTTTGTCTTTTCCAAACCCCTTGTCCCAGTAGCTTCTGCCGAGAGCAGGAGTGAAAGGATTCCTCTTGTGTTTCCCATTCCCATTTCCATTTTATGAGCCGGTGTCGGGTCAGAAGCCTTTTGTCTGGGCAGTGAAAAACTGCGGGGCAAGGCACTGAGCGGCCCGGACATCCTAAATAAGCCTCTCCTACGTCTCCCTGTGTGACTGAAAATGGGAACGAGTCAGTCTAAACAAGTTCCCGTCCCCCCTAAGGGGACTCCGGCGTACTTTATGTACACACACTATTCTCCCGAGGCTTGCAAGTACCTGGATAAGTGGAACTGGTATACTAGGGATGATCCTGTGAAGCATTTTCCACAAGAAGGAACATTTGATCAGGATAAAATAGTGCACTTAAGAGGGGCTTTAGAGTCCCGTGGATCCAAAACACCACAAAACCAGTGGGACGCGTTCTTTTATTGGTATGATGAAATGTCCAAAAGGCGGACAGAATCTCAAACTAGGAGCCTAAAAGACTCTCAAGAAAAATTAAAACAGCAGTTACAAGCTGTTCGGGAGAAATTGGCTGCTCCCCCAAATTACACGCCGGCCACCGCTCCGATGTATCCAGCATTGCCCGGGGCGCCCCCACCACCGGAGCCAGCAGAGGATATCCTTGACCTTTGTTCGAACCCTGCTCTCCTGGGACTCCCACATCAGCAACAACCGGTTCAACATCAGGCTGCAGCCCAGGCTAGTAACTCATTAGCTGAAGCTCCTTCAGTAAATCCATCCACGGAGCTTAATAGTCTGGACTCATCCACCATATCTGCCACTCAATCATCACCAGTGTGGCAATTTACTCCTGGGTCACAACCCACCACAGGTGTATTTAGAAGAATGGGAATAGGCATGGAAAGATCTCCCATCAATCTTAGATCCCGAGCTGCACAAGTTTACCCCCTAAGACAAATGCCAGGCATTGGCACCGATGGACAAAATATAGTAACCGTGCATGCACCCTGGACTCCAGGTGATCTCTACAATTTAACTCAAAAATTCCCCAAAATCAGGGAAGACCCAGAAAAATTTCAGGAAGAATTGCAGACTGTTATAAATTGTTATAATCCAACATGGGCTGACATTAATCAGCTCATGCGATCGATTTTGCCCAAGGAAACTATGCTACGTCTGTATGCTGCCTGTACTTGGCCAGATCAAAACCCAGGGATTGGCCAAGACTTTATTGACAAGAGAAATGCTTTGGTTCAGGCAGTTCTCACAATTTGCCCAAAAAAGGCAGACTGGACCAAAATAAATACCTGTAAACAAAACAAAAATGAACACCCCAGTGACTATTTGGAACGCCTCAAACAGGCATTTGAACGATACTCAGGAATGGATAACCCAGTCGGAAATGCTAAACAAGCAATAGTGGCAGCATTCATCCAGGGACTTAACCCTAAAATTGCTGAGAAAATTCAAACAGTAATTATTGGCTGGGAAACTAAAGATTTGACTGAAGTCCTTGCTGCGGCTAACCATTTTCATAACAAATTGGAACGGTCTAAAGACAATGCCGAGTTTAAGTTAATGGCCTTACAGATTTCTCAGTTGCAGGGTCCAGGTAGAGGAAGGGGACGAGGACGGGGAAGGGGAGGCCCGGGTAGATTCAGGGGAAGAGATAGATCCTTGAGCCCACAAAACCCAGGCTATGGGAACCAATGTCATTATTGCAAGCAAGAAGGACATTGGAAATCAGAATGCCCCAAGCGCCCCGGCCAAGGACCCAGACCCCAGTCCCTGCCCCCACCTCCACTTCCTGTCAATTTTCCCAGTGTTGAATAGGACAGCCTGAGGGACAGTGACATCATCGCTCCTTTGCTTGCTACTGACCAATCTGGTCCGTTTGTTGAATGCCTTATTTCTGGTAAACCTGTCTCCTGTCTTGTCGACACCGGAGCATCCCGCTCCACGCTAAAGGCTGCTGAGTTTCCTT